ACTGGTCTATTGAGTGGAAAGATCTTAGCCATTGTTGTTACTCTATCTTGTCTAGTTCTGAAATTTGGAGCAGCTAAAAAGTCTAGTCTTTGCATATAATCTTTTATTTTTAATAAAATAGTTAGGATGATTCTATATGTGTGGTTGATCAATTTCTGTTGTTCGAAGCTCATATTGGTATAAATTAAATGTTTTCATATATATGAAACTGTTTTTTTTGTTTTTTATGCAAACGCAAAGAGAATCATAATTTTGCCTTTGGTGTTTAGGTTTACACTTTACAAAAATATTTTGATGAATAAACTAAAGGAAAATGTTTTATATTCTCCAAAAACATTGCATTTGATATAAATCGGCCCAATTATTGTATAAAGTTTGATTTGGAAAAATATTATTAACGTAAAAGAAATTGTTTGGCGATGCATTAGTATTGATTTGGAAGTGCTTTGTAGTTGGTAAGTGAAAGCTAATTAGGTTTCTTTCAACCAAATTAGCACTAGAATGTGATAAAGTGTTGATAGATTGTGTGGCAGTGTTAACACGATGACATGGCAATTTTTGCTTATGTGGCGATATGATGTGGCATTTATTAACGAGAAAAAAGCAACTAATTAGTTTTTTTTTTGTTAGTTACTGAGCCAAGAAAATGGTTAACTTTGTGTTGAAGTATTGAGATCTCACTTTGATTGGAGACTAAATGTTGGGGGCTTTACCAAAAATAGTTCATTTTGTTTATGTGGTGCCATTATATATGTATGATCGTGAAATTCTAAAAAGAATAGTTTGAATAAGAGAGTGTACTTTATAACTAAAGTATAGTATGTTGCAAAATCATCTTTATACGAAACATGAAAACAAGATGATTATTGGGGTGAATAATATTAGACAAAGAAATCAAATCATGCTTTTGGAAAAGGTGAATATGTGTTACTGTAAAGATTAAAATAAAAAAATGAAATACGACTAAATAAGTGTCGGACAAAGAGAGTTTCTTTGATTTTGATTCGATAGATCTTTACCTAATTCAAAATAAACTTTTCGTGGTAATTAAAGCCTCCATTGTTGGGATTTTATTTTATTATTATTTCTTTGCATATCATGCTTACCACTAAGTATAAGTCATCTCAACTGTATCTAGATATTTTCATTATAAAAAAAAACAAGTTTCTTAAATCTTAATAGGGAAATTGGACTCAATAACTATAAAAAAACAAAGAAATTATAACCCATTAATCCAATAGTCACAATATTACCACACATATTATTTTTATTAGATTTTGAGTTATAATTTCTTTTGGTTATGAACCAAATTAATCCAGTTTTA